TGAGTGACCTGTGCTGTGCAGCAGCCCTGGCAGGAGGGTGCTCAGGCTGGGACTGCCAGTCAGGCACTGCAGGTCTCTGTCCTTCAGGGCATGCAGGTGTTTGGAGAAAAAAAAAGGAAAAAAAAAAAAAAAAAAAAAAAAGGGAAATATTCAAACCCTGCACATTTTAAAGACTATTCAGAGCCAGAAAGCTCAGGGGTTTTTGTGGAGTTTTGGGATGGAAACCACTTACTGTCTGACTTACTGTCTGACTGCACCCTGTGACAGGAACAGTCACAGCCTGTCACAGCCCAGTGATGCTCCTTTGCATGGGCTGTGTGAGGATCCAGCACAGCCCAGGCAGAAATCCAGCCCCTCCTCAGCAGCACTGGCACCTGGAAACACCACCAATCCACTCGGGTATGAGATGCTCAGGGAGCCTCATCACTTGTAGGCTCCCAGCATAATTAGGTTCCACATTTAAATCTCTGCTGGATATCAGGAAACAAGCATTTGCCTTGCCTGTCAAGCACCATCAGCTCCCAGCTGCCACTGATCACACCACCACATTTTACAAGGTTCTTTTACACACAACTGGTGGAATTTGTTCTTGCTCAGGCATCAGAATCAGTCATCTCACCACCTCCCACCCAGCACAGCACCTCATGGGCACTCCTCCATGGGCTTGAGCTTGGCACCAAGAGGCAGCCATGCCCATGCTGCCAGGGCCAGCACAGCACGGGGTGCATCCCAGCAGGGCCATGCTTCCAGCAGGCAGGCTGCTGGGAGCTCTGGGAGCACATCCTCTGTCTAAGGACAGGGGGGAAAGCCCCAGGCTGGTGGGGGCACAAAGAAGCCATGTCCAGCCAGAGGAGCAGGAGGGTCCAGCCTGTGTGCCAGCAGTTCCAGAGAAAAAGGAGTTTCCACTGTCTGCCCTGCACCCACTCCACACCTGAGCCACATGGCTCTGCCTGTATTTTAGGAGTTCCCAATGAGCTCATCATAAAGCTTCATAATTAATGTTTCAAAATGAATTACAACAGCCTGGGATTCTCCTGAAGACAGTAATAGCTACAAGGAAGAAGCCAACCAGCCATTATGTAGCATGCTACAAACAGTGCTCTCTCCCCAGCCTTTGATGAAGTCAAGTGGTTCTGCCCTTTTACTATTATGCATTGCAAATTGAAAGTGCCAGCAAGAACTCCTGGCTTTGATGTCCAGAGCAGAGCTCCAGCTGCCATGCCCAGTCCCCCCAAGGTGCAATGCAGCACAGAAATCTCCCCTGTGCTTAGACGGAACCAGGCCACCCTTTCCCACACAGCTTCTTGAGGGTATAAGCCACATTTGATAACAAAAAAAGACAGCCCCAGATGCTGTAAGCAGGGTGTGGGGTTCCTGCTGTTACTCACCATGTGCTGAGCTGTTCAGACAAACAAAAGAGCAGGTTGGGTCAAACACAAGAACTTCCTCAAGTGAACTGTTCTCACAGGTCAGAATCATTAAAGGGATTAAATCCAGAAAACACTGACTTGCTGCAGTGTCTGCAGTGGCTCCCTGCACCCAGGCTTTCCAATGCCCTGCACTGCAGTCTCTAACTGCAGACCTCCACAGTTTCACTCACCCCAGCCAGCGTGGCCCCAGCTGAATTTAAGCACTCATTGTAACAGGTTTAATTCTTAACTGAAAGAAATGTGCAACACAGACCAGCTTGGGTGAACATCCAGAAACCATGAGATTGCCAACAGGCAAGTATCAGCTCCAGGCTGTAGTGCTAGAAACTTACCACAGGCTGGGCAGAAAGACACAGCCTGTTTGAAAAGAGACTTTGACAAAGCAAGCCAGGTCCTCTCTTCCACCTCTCATTTGAATTAAACAAATAGACCAAGCCCAGGCAGAGAAAAAATCCAACAAAATGATGTCGTTAGCTCAGCAGAGTTGATTTTTAGACTTCCTGCATTTGACTTAAAAGTAAATCAGGATTTTATGTTTTTATTTTTAACTCTGTTCTCATTTAAAAACTTCAGTTAGTGACAGGATAATTGTTAACAGTTTGAAGATAACATTTAAAAGTGTTCCTAATAATGGCAGCATTTAAGAAGGAATTACACTGATACCTTTTAAACCTGACAGCAAGTGATTTCCCAGCTATGACTGCTATCTCCACACAGCATTTTGTCCTGGCAAGGACAATCCAGCTTGAGTCTGGTACAGAAAGCAGTTGGAGAAACAGAAGTGAAATCCAGAAGTTTGTTTTCATTATCTAAACTGAAAGAGCACAAGAAGTGAAATTATGTGAATAAATGCTGTGCCACTTGACCTTTTTTCTTTCCAGTGATTCTCTGGAGTTTTTTTTGGCTGTCCAATTGCTAAGTCATTTGTAACAGGGCTCTCCTGTCCTACCCAGGCTTGGGTACCACCCTGCAGCATGCATGGGCAGAAAAGGACACAGCACCAGCACCAATTTCTCCAGTGAGACGTGCCAGACCAGATTTTTTGCATACCACAGCAAAGCAGTTCACCACCTGCCATATAACACCATCCTGCAACTCACATTTTTTGAGCTCTAACAGTGCCTCATTTTTTCCAAGTCAAAAAGAAACCCGCTGGCCAGTTCAGCGCTCTTCAGACTGATGAGTAAATTGCTTTTTCCTTTAATGAGCAGCTGGGCTGCTGCAACAGCACTGCAAGCTTGGCCCGTGGTTCCAGTGTGTGCCCCTTCAGAGCAGAGCTGGGCAGGGAGCAGGGCAGCAGCAGCAGAGAGCACTGACAGCTGTCACACCATTGTGAGCACCTCTAGGGAGTGGGAACACCGCCTTCCCCACCCCTCAGCCCTCCACAGCTCTTCACACACAGCAGAGCAGGAAAGATTAAATCTAGTATGAGCAGCCAGGGGATGGGAGAGCCCAGCCAGCACCTTCACTCCTCTCCTTGTCCCTGGCAGCATTCGGTGCCTTGAAGCAAGCCAGGATTCTGCAGGCAGAGGCATGCTGGAGCCCAGCAGAACTTGCAGCAATTGCTCATCTTCAGAGAGGATGAGCCTGCTGCATCCACCACAGTGCTGGAGAGCCAAAAGCTGCCCTGAGGATTAGACACAGCCTTGTACTGAACCAGCAGCTACTCCCCTTCTGCATTCAAAGGAAGGAACAGCAGCATCTTGCTTCCCTCTTGTGAGGCAGAAAAGCAGATGAGCAGCAGTTTTCAATTGAGAAATACATTACTTCATTCAGACAAACTGTCAGGCTGAAACTGAAATAGTTTTGTTTTTTTTAAAAAATCACAAGTCATGCAAATGTAAGTTAGTCTGAACTGCCCTGAAATCAATAGGGCTCCAGTGAGCGAGTCCTCCTCTTCAATCCTACATTCCCATGTCAGCAGAGAGCAGCTCAGGGAGCATGGCTCTGGCTAGGATGGGCAGCTACCCACCTGTGCCAGGTTCCTGGAGCCTGGGCTGTGCCCCCTGATCTCAGGGGACTGGGCACAGGCTCCCAGCAGACCAGAGCAGCCTGGTATTGCCACTGCAGAGCTGCACTGCAGCCTTCTGACTCAGCCTTGCAGCTTTCCTGGCTCCTAGAAAGCCCACTCCCAGCTTCTCCCAGGCCAAGAAAGACTGGCAGATGCTCTTCAAGCTGCACTTTGGAAAGGGTCAGGTTTACACCAAAGGCTGATGTGACTGTTAAAGGACATTTCCAGGCTGGGTTTGTTGGGGTTTTTTTCACTTTTCCAGAGCACACTGTAAAAGCCAGCATAAATATCCTCTCTGCTATTGTTTTTGCGGAGCCTGCCAGATCAGATTACACTGAAAATCAAGATACAGATATTTTATCTTTGTTCTGTTTGGCACAGGAGAGACATTTGACCTCTGTTTAGAGCATTTCTTGCCCTGTCGTTCCCCATGCTTTTCATCATACATCCCTCTAAGCATCCCATGTTTTAGAAACTACTTTCAGCTCCAAGACCCACCAGCTCATTCCCACGGTGGACAAAGTTTCGGGCTCTGCAGCCTCCTGGATGACTGCAAGCAGATACCCAGAGCACTCAGCTGCCATCCCTGCAGGAACTTGAGAGAGGAACTGAGCCCAGTCCTGCACCATGGACTGCTAATCCCTTTGCTGAGAGGAGGCAAGCTGGAGTTTAGAGAACTGGAAGTTGGAGAACAAGCAGATGTTTATTCAGAGCCAGCAGCATGAGGGGGAGGACCACCAGCTCCTTCCTGCCGGCGCAGGACTTACCGTCCCTGAATGCCCCTTTTTGTCCCTGTCCCCACATCTGGGGCCGGCCAGCACAACGCTGCTCTGTCCAGCACGGGGCTGTGGCTGCTGCACGCCTGCCTCAGGGCCCAGTGGCCAGCAGAAGGAGAAGCAGGGTGGCCACTGCCAGCCACAGTGATGCTGACCTGGCTGCCAGGCTGAGCAAGAGGAAGTTGGCTGACACTGGACTTGCAGCTTTAACAGGCATCAGAGCCCCCAGCTTGGAGACAGGGGCATGAGACCAGCCTTTAAAATAAGAGTAAAGCCCAACACCCTCAAAGAGCACAGCTGCTTAGTAGGACTAATCCAGGAAGGTTGAACTCCACCAACACATTGCACAGTTGTCATCATAATATGGACCAGAAACTTCAGTTTCAGTAAAAAAGCATGCAGGTGTGAGAGAAGCAGCAGCAAGTCTTGGCAGGGAAGAAACAAGAGCTCTGTCACTCTCTACAGCAGGAGCAGCTCCAAAAGGAGCCTAATTGCACCCACCTATGTTAGTAAACTTTGGCCTACAAAACCACCAGGCTGCTTCCAATCACGATGGTGAAGATGGACCTTTCGGATGGGATTTCCCACTCAGGCTGTGTTAGCTCTAGTTTGGACTGCAGGACTGCATTGGAGACTGGTACCAAACTGCTCTGGTGCTCCACAAATCCTTGTCTCAGGTCAAAGCACCAGCAATACAGTGAATATAAACGGATGCATCCAGGTAACCACCAAAACACTCACTGGCTGAGCACCAGTACCCGTCCGATCTAATAATCAGAAAGGTTTTTTAAAATAAAAATACTTAACATTTATTCACCTTTGAAGTCACCATAGTAAAATTGTACACGTTGTGAGTAACCCAGGAACATTATCCAAAAGCTACCAGAAACATAAGGCAATTTGTACAACCATTGAAAGAAATACACAGCATTTTGAAAACAGAGTGAAACATTACTAAAACAAGACAACGCTTGATACACACTAGAGTGACAAGAAACAGCATTAAGTTTTAAACAAAAATAAAGATGTCATGGCTACAAGTATTATACAGTGATAAATACTTCAAAAATATATTAAGATATATGGAAATTCTCACTTTGCAAGGGAAATCCAGAGAAATTCCAGCCTTCACTGGATTTCAATATACCAATTAAAGTTTAATATTTAAATTCTTTTCCTTTCAGTAGGAACCAGTACTGCAGCCATTACTGTCCTGTATCAATACTTACCTTCTTGTAGTGTAATGAATTCAGCCTTATGTTACATTAAGCCCTAATGCCTCTAGCATCACAGGCACCAACTGCCCTAAATCAACAAATGAGTTGCCTTTTGATTACAAGTGCTGTGCACCACGTTTGAAGCCATAAGCCACGTTAGATCACAGTCAACGTTCGCCCACTTTACAGCATTAATGAACGCGGGTTCCAAACTTGCCTCCACGTAAATAAGACGTCTTGAACAGAGGGTTTAGTAGCAAGCCCACCATGTTTTCCTAGCATAACATCAAGCACTCAGAAGTTACAGTACATGAACCATGCTAAAGTTTAGGTTACACCTTCAAAAAAGAAAGTCCAGAGGATGTTTGGAGACAACAGGCTTTGAACATGCACAAACAGTGCTCTAGCACACATCTGTTTGTGCCGTTACTGGGTAGTGAGTGAAGCAGTTTATAGCCAAGGATTTGGTGAGGCAGTTTTCTGAGCCAGTTTAAAAATATAGACTTCTTCTTAGAGGGTCTGTTCTATAGAAAATAAAGTGAAATCTGGTAAATTGTCAGTTTTGAGAGTACTTTTCCCTCGGCAAGATGCGCTCGTGGGCCTACCGCACCAAGAGGAAAGCCAAGCCCGCCATGCCGATGCCCGCCGCCGCTGCCATGATGGCGTTGCCGATGGTGCTGCTCTGCTCGCCCGCCTCCGAGCCCTGTCTGCCGAAGAAGCGACAGAAGCCATCCTGCAACAGCAACAGAAAGGACACTCAGCTGCTTAGCTTGCAGTTAAGTGGATCTCCTCAACAAGCCTTTGGGCGCAGCTCCATGCTCCCCCGCTCAGCCTCTGTCAGCTGCAGAAGTCTATATTCCAGTCATGGAAGTCTAAACCCTTGGGCACAGGAAAAACATTTTGTGAGAGCTTTTGCACAAGGCAACAGAAAGGAGTAGCTACAAGTGCTTGCATACTTAGCTCAAGAGATAACTGGACACTTCCTATTGAGATGCTCAGTGTGTCATTACATATTTTTGCCATTTTAGGCAAGTTTCTGATGGAAGCTGTCAGCACTGTTCCTCCTACTTTAAAGTTTCAGAAAACATCTAAAACACAGGATATGGAAATTTCCACTTTTTGAGACAGGAGGCCAAAACCAGTCCCATCTCGGTGGATGTGGGACTGATTACACACTCTCTTGGAAGGGCCGGGTGGACACTGCTCAGAGCTGACCTATGACAGAGCAAAGCTGGCAGCTGCTCTCCCAGATCATTGTGATAATCAGAAGTGGCAGCAATACAACTCCAGATGGTCGTATTTGAACTCTGCTCCGCAGATGTCTATGTAAACAAGTTATACTCTTAATTTCTTCCGGAACTTTGTTCTTTACACTTTGATTTGTGCGAACAGGCAATAAGACTTTGCCGATTTTGCCAAGTGACAGTGTTCTCTGCAGCCAACCGCCACATTGTTCTGAGTGGCCAGATGGACCAGTGACCACTGGAAAACCAAGTTCATTTTGGTCTCTGGAAAAGCCAACAAAACCAGTGGCTACTTCCCCTCCTTTCTATTTTTAGTGCTTATTTGTACTGACATAAAGTATTCCACTAGGACTGGAAATAGGAAACGAGCAATTTTGTGGGATAGCTGACATTTTGTTCAGAAACACAGGCAGAGCTGCACCAACGCCTTAAAAGCTGTACCTCCAAGCATGCATCTCTGGGGGCAAAATGCCCACACCTTCCTCCCCAGGCCCGACCTGACCGGCCTCGGGACAGACAGGAACAAGAGCAGCAGGTCTGGAGGCTGGTGCCTTAACACCCAGGTGTACTTAACAACAGGCACAGGTTCGTGCACACACCTGGGAGAGGACCTGTGCCAGCCTGCTCGCCGAAATCCACGGGCTGTGGACCCGAGGGGAAGGCAAACCTCGCTCCCTCACCCAGCAGCATCACTCCTGCGTTATCAGGAGGCTGCATCCCAACGGGGCCATGCGCGGCCACCCGGAGGGAGCTGGCTACGCCGCAGAACCGGGGCCGCAGGCACCCCAATGGCCCAGCGAGCACCCACCGCGTGTGGCGATGGGCAGCAGCCCCCGGGGGACACACCGCGTGTGGCGATGGGCAGCAGCAGCCCCTAGGGACACACCGCGTGTGGCGATGGGCAGCAGCAGCAGCTCTCGGGGACACACCGCGTGTGGCGATGGGCAGCAGCAGCAGCCCCGGGGGACACACCGCGTGGCGATGGGCAGCAGCAGCCTCCGGGGACACACCGCGTGGCGATGGGCAGAAGCAGCCCCCGGGGACACACCGCGTGGCGAGGGGCAGCAGCAGCCCCTAGGGACACACCGTGTGTGGCGATGGGCAGCAGCCCTCAGGGACACACCGTGTGTGGCGATGGGCAGCAGCCCTCAGGGACACACCGTGTGTGGCGATGGGCAGCAGCCCTCAGGGACACACCGTGTGTGGCGATGGGCAGCAGCCCTCAGGGACACACCGCGTGGCGAGGGGCAGCAGCCCCGGGTGCACGCCCATCGCCGGCAGTAACCCCGGCACGTCTCCCGCCGGGACGAGCCGCTGCACGGAGCCGCGGGCTGCCCTGCCCCGCTGAGGGGCCGAGGGTCCCGGCACCCGCCCCAGGCCGCTCCCCGCCGCCCCGTCCCCGCTCACCCATCCGCCGTGCGCCTCCAGCCACTCGCCGCGCTCCTCGGCCAGGTACGCGGCCAGGTGAGCGGCCAGGCAGCGCGGCCCGTCGCTGCAGCCCCGCTCGGCCAGCGCGGCCGCCAGCGTTCCGGCGAACACCACGAGCGCCAGCAGCCGGCCCCAGTTGAGGCCGCCGTCGGCCTCCAGCTGCGCCGCCACCCTGCCCAGCAGCGCGGCCGCCTCTCGCGGCTCGGCCCGCGCCAGCGGCGCGCAGGAGCGGAAGAAGGGCCGCTCCTGCCGCTCCAGCTCGGCCGCCGCCCGCCGCAGCGTGGCCGCCGTGGGGCTGGGGGGCAGCGCGGCGCTGCCGGCGCGGTGCTGGAAGTAATCCTCCAGCAGCAGCGCCGTCTCCTCCTTCAGCGAGCGCGGCATGGCGGCTGCCCACGGCGGCGGCCCCGCAGCAGCAGCTGCCGCCGACTAAGAGGCGGGGCGGGCCCTCCGCCCGGCCCGCCCCGGGCGCTCCCCGCCTCCAGGGCGGGGCCAAGCGGGCACGTTCCCATCGGGAGCGGGCCGCCCGCATCCCTGGAAAGATGTCCGCGGCACGTTGCTGCGGGCCTCGCTGGGCAGCCGAGGGAGTTATCGGGTGTTTGCTCTCAGATACTTGTTTTAATTCCTTTTGGCTTTTTTGTTCCACGTTAGTGGCCCGCCCGAACGCGTATTCTTTGCATCAAAGGAGATACAGGTTTTCCAGGATCAGGGGGTGAGTGCAATGTGTATTTACTCAGCAAATACAGTGGCCTTTGTTTTTTGATGAGCATATCGGCAAAGTCTAAGATTAGGATCTTGGTGGTGCAAAGGTCGGGCCATTCACACTGCTGGTGTCAGGTAAAGCGGCTGAGAACGACCCTGGCCAAGGGTGTCATTGGCAGAGCACACGGAGCTGCCCGGCGGGACACCTCCCCTGCACCCCCGCCGTGCCGGGGCAGCTCCGAGACTCCCCCAAACACCGCCCCAAGGGAGCTGGCAGCCCGGCACAGGAACACCAGCGTGCGCGTCCTGCTCTGTGCCCTTTGAGCTGCTGAAGGTGGCCCGGGGCAAAGCGTGGCTCTGACCGCTGTCACAGCACGGCCCTGCTGTGCCCAGGGTGGCACAGGCACTGCCGCTGTCACAGCACGGCCCTGCTGTGCCCGGGCTGGCACAGGCACTGCCGCTGTCACAGCACGGCCCTGCTGTGCCTGGGGTGGCACAGGCACTGCCGCTGTCACAGCACGGCCCTGCTGTGCCCAGGGTGGCACAGGCACTGCCGCTGTCACAGCACGGCCCTGCTGTGCCCAGGGTGGCACAGGCACTGCCACAGCTCCTGGCACCGTGGCCACCCTCACCTCTTGTCCCACAGCCGGCTCAAGGTGCCCAACGTGCCAGCACAGGACTGCTTGGCTTTGCTCCATCTATCTTGAGATACAGCTGTCTCCATGTTACATCCCCACTGGAAAATCTAAAAATAGGTGGTTGGAATCAATCCTGTTGTAATTTCTCAGATCACTATCAAGAATTGGCCTGATCCCTCAGAGTCCCTCCTAAGGCGAACTTTAGTTCTACATCCCCGTTCTTGGCTTTTGTTTTGTTTTGAAGCAGGGAAACAAGAGTCTGTTTATGTGCTAAAGCAGTGGCTGGAATGAGATCTTTACTTTTCACAAGAGCTTTACACACATGCTTTAAAAACTATTTTTCCTTATGATTGTTAATCCTGCAGCAGGAATTTCCTATTGCATTCCTCACAGCAGGAGTGCAAGAGGGAGAGGCTGCTCTTTCTCTAGCAATATCCTTTTCCACCCTTCCTGTTTATATAGCATTTTTGTTTAACAGGACAGGCCCCAGCTACAGCTCCCTTCTCTCCACACGTTTATGGAATAGAGGTGTTTTTGACACAAATAGCTTGACATACCAACAGGGAAATATCGAAACCATGGGTTTTCCAAAGCTTCCCTGGACAGCCTTTAGTGAGTAAAAAACACAATGGGTACTTCAGTGTCCTGTTCCTCTAAGTGTCATTTATCTGATGGGAAGTTGAGGCCCATCCTGGTTGATGTTTTCACCATTACCTCAGGAACAAAGAGGTGATTTTCACAGGTGGCAAGCCCCTGCACCCCCACACACAAGTCCAAAGGCAGTGGCCCTGAAGTGCAAACCCCACATTTCTCCATGCAAGAACAGAAGTGCAAGATGCAATGTCAGACTCATTCTCACTGGATCTTGTGAGTTTGGGCAGTGATGTCACTCAGAACAAGCTGGCTCAGCACTTTCCCCAGGCCCTCAGAAGAGGGGAAATGAAACAATGCACCTAAATTAAGAAGGTGCTTTTTTCAGTGACTAAACTGAGCACTTCCACTAACCACCTTCAGGCTGACCATAAAACCTACACTGAAGTTGAGAGGACAGCTGGTCACAGCTCACTTCTCTCCTGACAAGGCAGAAAGCTGAACTGCTGCACCTCCAGCTGATCTGCACATCTGGTTTGCCCAAAAAGTCACAGCCTGGGCACTCAACAGAATTTGCGTGCCTGGCTTTTCACTGGCATCCTGCTGCAGCCCAAGGAGCTCCCACATAACACATACCCTGCATTTTCCAGTTCCTTCCTGGGTATCCCGTGAGGATCTGGAAAGAAAACATTACATTAGCTGTGATCCTTCTGAGGAGGAAAATAATCTGAGTTCTCCTTGCCTCCTGCATGCAGGGGGAACTGAGATGGCATTTCAAGTACTTCTATGGGCTGCTCACTCTCATTTGCTGTGGTTCACCTGGGATATTTCCAGAAGATATTCCAGAACCAATTTTCTGGTGGATCTGGATTTTACCTGAGATTTTTGCAGGATAAATAATTTAAGAAACTGTGTGGCACAAAAAGTGAATGTCAAAAAAGCAAAAAACCAAATAGCTACCAAGCACTGGGAAGAACTACTACATACATGGTTCTCAGTATGTAAAATACAATTTATTGTATTTAGGCTGTTCATAAGTATCAACACAATGTATTATGTTTGAAACAAACATCTTGCCAATAAATACTACCTAAACATTAAATTAATCTTTTGATCAAATGTGTACAGTGTATTGACTCAATATTGCACAGTGAGTTCTATATGACATTTCCATAGTGCATTCAGTTTGTTACAGGGATAGCTTGCCACAAATATTGCAAAGCATCAGAGTTGACTTTTCCAAGTGAAAACAGCTGATCTATTCCATTAGGGATGGAAGGCTGGTATAAATGTCAGTGTCTTAGGTTAACTGGTTATGGATTGACAGAACCTAAGGTTTTCATGGATGAGGAGACTGTTTCTAATATGATTTTTATACAATTGTAAAAAAATACCACTTGCAAATAGAATGAGGATGTTATCATTAAACTCCAGTGACCAGTGAGCTCGTAGACAGGTTCATTCCAGTAAGCTTGTTTTCTCTTGTTCCAATCTAAAGATAAATCATATATATGATACATTCAGAGCTGTACCTCACCACCTGCACTTCAAAGGGCAGGCTATGCAAGCCCCCAGCATTACTCCAGCTCTTTGTGCCTGTGCTCAGGTGAGACTCGGAACCTGTTGGTATGAGCAGAGCTGACACACTCTAGTCCCAACAGTTTTCAATGTATGAATGCAGATATAATCTCACAATGGTTCCATAATTAATTGTATCTCATCTTTATGTAATTAAATCTTGATTCTAGAGCATCACTTCTGTGTGGGGTGGTTCTGCCAGTTCTCGTGGCATTCCCATGCTCACGCAGAGGGCTGGGTGCTGCCAGCAATGTGGCCAGCTGTCCTGCTCTCCTGAAAACCAGTGACTCCTGGATCAGATGGAGTCATGTGCTCTGGTCAGCACAGTATCAAGCACTGGCAGGGCTGTGGCTCACAGCAGATTTTCAACAGCTCACTGTTATTCACTCTCAAGTCCAGCTATGACAAAACCATGTCCATGGCAGTGGGAGATGACTGTGACAGCAAGGACTGTATGATTTCACCTGTATTTTCATGAACTTACAACTGCTCTGACATTGCAGAAGGACCTTAAGATGGGCATATACTGCTTTAAAATACATTTAAGCTACATTGCCTTGCCAAAGTTGTATGTACTGCTCAAAATGCAAATAAGAATTATGGTCATAGAATGATTATGACTGACTTGGAAAATATTTGACCATCAGTATAATGGTGTTTAATGCTTAGCATGTAGTATTCCTTAGTGCTTAGCATGTAGTATTTCTTTAAGTAAAAGAAAATTCACTCACCAAGTGATACAATTAAAAATTTCTAAGAAACTACTGGTTAAGTATTACCTCATGATTATGTAAATCATGTTTATATCCCTCTTCTTTGCTGTTTATAAGTTTGTATATATTTAGATTCTTTATATTCAGGTAACAGAGATGAAATACTTATTTCTATCTAAAAAGACAGTAGGAAAAAACAGGGATCGAAAGGATTTTTTTTCTGTACAAAAAATACATTTCCTATGACAGCAGCCAGTACCTTCACAGCAGGTCCTCTGCTCCTCTACTTACCACCAAGGTTCAGTCATCCATAACACCATCATAAAGTATCAGAATTGTTTCTCTTTCCGTTTTTCAACACTGAAATTCAATATGCTACTACGGAATGTTTCCACAGCCTTTCGCTATATCCTGATAAAATCAGGACTTTTTTTTTTTACTTTAAAAAGGAACTATTCATGCAAATAAATACATAATGTGCACTGAAATACTCAATGATACAGGTGACTTTGGAGAAAAGTCCCTTTATAAATAATGAAACTAATTCTAATAAAAGAATATAGTTTCAAAAAAAAAAAATCAAAACATTACATTTTACTACAAGTTGATGTTTGCTACGCGTTCAAGCAGACTACATTTTCTACCTAGCTGTGTTAATCTGTGGACTGAGTGTCACTCTTTTGGACTGTAGTGAATATTTGATTTTGAGGAATGGCTTCTTTATGCAGTTTTTGTAGTCCAGGGTTTCAGTCTTCATTTGACTCTGCAGACGGGATCTCAGGTTACGCCCAGATCTGTAGGAAGAGAGAGAGCTGAACACTCCTTTATGACCCTGACGGTCCCATCAAACCTTAAATTAAATTGGTACGCCGATCACATTAGCGGTACAGAGTATCAGCAGCTACGATATCATGTAACCCAAGCGCAAACTCGGCAGCTCCGCCAGCACTTCGCGGGGATTTTCATTTGGCTTTGCTGTTCATCTTGTACACTGTTTTATACCCTCCCGGGTTCCCCATGAGCAGTTTTCCTGTACCAGCCCTTCCTCCTCAGCCCTTCCCTCGGCAGCTGCAGCAGCAGCACCCGCGGCAGGCGGTCCCGGCGCTCACCCGCAGAGTGTGGTCCCAGGAGCCCGAGCAGAAGGCGGTCCCGTCGGGAGAGACCCGCAAGGTGCTGACGCGGTTTTCATGTCCGAACAGAATGGAC